GCTCCTAGACTGGAGAGTTAATCACTTCCTTTTGCTATAAAACATCTATCTTTACATTTCCAACCCTCACAATCAGTCCTGATAACAATCATTCACTATTGTATCGCAAGTGATCCATCTGCATTTCATTTCATCAGCTCCGCCTACACAGATTGGATGGTACTCACTGGAGATTCTGCCTTCCTCCAGGCCCCCTGGCTCTAGGTTCCCTCTTGAAAGCTTATAAGCCAGTCACTTCTTGCCTTTGTAGTTCCCCCATTTGGGTATCATCTATGTTGCTTTAAGCCAAATGAAATGAAAGTCTATGTATAAATATAAACTTATACACCAAGAATAAATTTTGGATTATCTAAGTACTGGACTGCTAATCACAAGGTTTCCAGTTCCAACCAAACAGACACTCTCAGAAACTCTATACAGGGGTCGCTAAGAGTCAGAACTGACTCCATGGCATACAACAACAGACAAATAAAATACAAAGTTAAACAATAATGTAGGCAAAAAGACAAAGATAGAGCTTACAGGTGAGTTTCGAGAGGCTTCTTTCAGTTTTGTCATGGTGGTGTGAAATGTTCCAATGAGATCATGTGACCCATCATTGTCATAATCATAACACTCTACCTAGAAATAAAAACATACAAAAATCAACATTATCACTTCAAAAAGGGTTGGTTGGTTAGGATAAATGGAACCTACCATGAAGCATTGCAGGTTAATGTGCTGGGCTGTAAGGTTGGTATGAACCACAAGGTTGGAAGTCCAAGTTCACCAGCTGCTCATAGGAAACCCTATACAGGGTCGCTAAGCGTCAGAATTGACTCAATAGAACTTAAAAACAACAGCTTGGAGAAGTAGGAACTAATGTCCTAAAGAAGTAATGAAGTACATTCAAACCTCAACCATCCTTGGAATGGAGTTCTAGAACAGATCACAAGCAAATGAAAAATAAAAATACTTTTTAAATTCCACATAAGCAGTTCCTGGCTCCTCTATCATGCCCTTTATAAGTGGCAACAACTGGAAAAAATGGAATTACACCTTCTTTCTCATTCTCTTCTTTATCTTGTGACTAACTACCATTATCCAGAGAAAGAAAAGAAGTCAATAAACTAGGGAACAGAGTTTTAAGTAATTGAGAATTCAGGAAAACTAGCTGCAATTTTATGAGGCATACTTTGTATTAGGGGTTAGAGAGAAGTCAAATCTGCATGATGCTAAGGATCACAACAGTTACAATAAAGAGAAAATCTCAGGGAACGAGTTTGTAATCCACTGAGGAAGCAGCTATAGCAGGTCATAATTAATCTATTTCCATACAAAACAGGGTGAAGTCTGGTCTTAGCGCTGGCGCTCATTAAATGCTCTTTCTGAAAACTGACAGAAGAGAGATGGTAGTACTTCATTTGTATACAGTTTTGTGCCAAGTTGACAGACATAACAAAGACTAAATGCTCACCAGACAACTAGAAGAGTCTTTCCAAGGTTACAAAAATAATATGATACAGTTAGCAGAGGCATTCAAGGAAAGCGAAAAAAAATGGCCATAACTGTGACCATACAATAGTCAACATTTTTATAGTGCTTTATAATTCCAAAACAGATTCATTTCATTTCTTAAAATTGGTTTTATGGGTAGTGTGTACAGCCTCTAAATACCTTGTGAGGTAGGCAGATGTGAATACTGTCACTGTTATTTCCATTTTGCAAACCTAAAATCTAGAGGAGTTAAATTAAGTCTTGAAAGACAGTACAAATGGTAAATAACACAGGGAAAACAAAGCTGTGCTGAGGACACTTTTAAGTCTTTTTTTGATTATGTGCTCTAGAATGAAAGTCTATAACTGAGAAACAATCTGCATTCACCCTCAATCATTACCTCCATTTTTCTAATTATACTTCAGATGTATTAATCACCAAACAAAAATGCTCAATATTTACATATGTGCACCTGGCAAAGTGGTTTCACTCTTCTCACTTTTGTGAACTGAATGCTTCCCAAAACAGGAAGACAACTGTACACGTGGCTCTTACCAGATGGAATACACAGAAATCCAACTGACTACATCTATGGAAAGAGATAGTAGAAAAGCTCTGTATCATCAGCAAAAACAAGGCCAGGGGCAGACTGTGGAACAGACCATCAATTGCTCATATGAAAATTCATACTGAAGTTGAAGCAAGTGAAAACAAGTCCATGAGAGCCAAAGTAAGACCATGAATATATCCCACCTGAATTTAGAGATCGTCTGAAGAACAGAATTGATACATTAGACACTAAAGACCGAAGACCAGAAGAGTTGTGGGATGATATCAACAACATCATACAGGAAGAAAACAAAAAGGTCATTAAGAAGACAAGAAAGAAAGAAAAAGCCAAAATGTATGAAACTTGCTATCCAGTGTAGAGATGATAAAGTAAAATGGAAGTGAGGACATATAAGAGCTGAACAGAAAATTTCAAAGGTCAGTTCAAGAAGAAAAAGTCAAATATTATAACAAAATGTACAAAGACCTCGAATTGGAAAACCAAAAGGGATGAACACACTCAATATTTCTCAAGCTGAGGAAAATGAGAAAATATTCCAGCCTCAACTTGTAGTACATTAAAGGATTATCTGGCAAGTTATTGAATGATGCAGAAAGCATCAAAAGAAGATAGAAGGAATACACAGAGTCACTGTACCAAAAAAGAAATGGTTGATGTTCAACCATTTCAAGAGGTAGCATATGATCAAGAGCCACTGATCCTGAAGGAAGAAGTATAAGGTGCATTGATGGCATGGCAACGAACAAGACTCCAGGTATGGATGGAATCAACAGCACTGGATGCAGCACTGGAGGCACTCACTTATCTATGCCAAGAAACTTGGAAGACAACTACCTGGCCAACGGAAAGGAAGAAATCTGTATTTGTGCCCATTTCAAAGACAGGTGACCCAATGGAATGCAGAAATCACTGAACAATATCACTGATACCCCCTGTGAGTAAAGTTTTACTAAAGGTAATACAAAAACGGCTACACACATACATTGATAGAGAACTTCCAGAGGTTGAAGCCGGATTTAGAAGAGACCCTGGAATAAGGGATATCATTGCCAAATGTGCAAAGAACTGGAATCAGAAAACCAAAATGTAAGAACATGCTCAGCATTTCTCAAGCTGGGGGAACTGAAGAAAAATTTCAAGTCTCGACTTTCATTATTGAAAGATTCTGTGGGCAAATTATTGCATGATGCAGAAAGCATCAAAAGAAGATGGAAGGAATACACAGAGGCACTGTACCAAAAGAAAATGATTAATGCTCAACCATTTCAAGAGGTAGCATATGATCAAGAGCCAATGATACTGAAGGAGAAAATCCAAGGAGCACTGACATAATCAGCAAAGAACAAAGCACCAGGAATTGATGGAATAAAAACTGAAATCTTTCAAGAAAGTGAGGTGGCACAGGAGGCACTCACTCATCTCTGCCAAGAAATCTGGAAGACAACTATCTGGCCAACTGATTGGAAGAGATCCATATTTGTGCCCATTCCAAAGAGAGGTGACCCAACGGAATGTGGAAATAATCAGACAATCTCTTTGATATCCCATGCGAGTAAAGTTTTGCTAAAGGCAATACAGAAATGGCTACAAGCATATATTGACAAAGAACTTCCAGAGGTTCAAACCGGATTCAGAAGAGGCCGTGGAATGAGGGATATCATTGCTGATGTGCGATGGATCTTGGTTGAAAGCAGAGAATCTAAAAAGATGTTACCCTATGCTTTATTAACTACACAAAGGCTTTCAACTGTATGGATCACGACAAGCTATGGACAACATTGCTAAGTATGAGTATTCCAGAAAACTTAATTGGCTCATGAGGAGCCTGTACATATAGACCAAGAAGCAGTTGTTCGAACCGAACAAGGGAACACCGAATGGCTTAAAATTAAGAAAGATGTGTGCCAGGGTTGTATTCTTTCACCATACTTATTCAGTCTGGATGCTGAGCAAATAATTCAAGAAATTGGATTATATGAAGAAAAACATTTCATCAAGACTGTAGGAAGACTCATTAACAACCTGCGATATGCAGATGATACAACCTTGCTTGATGGAAATGATACTGATAAAGATCAACGACCACAGCCTTCAGTATGGGTTGCACCTCAATATAAAGAAAAGAAAAATCCTTTCCACTAGACCATAAAGAACATCCATCTATACAGAGAAAAGATTGAAGTTGTCAAAGACTTCATTTTGCTCAGCTCAACCATCAACACTCATGGAAGCAGCAGTCAAGAAATCAAATGACATATTGCATTAGGCAAATATGCCACACAAGATCTTTTTAAAGTGTTGAAGAGCAAAGATGTCAGCTTGAGGACTAAGGTGTGCCTGACACAAGCCATGGTATTTTCAATCACCTCATATGCATGTGTAAGCTGGTCAGTAGTGAACAAGGAAGACCATAGAAGAATTGATGCTTTTGAGTTATGGTGTTGGAGAAGAAAATTGAAAGTGCCATGGGCTGCCAAAAGAACCAATAGATCTTTGTTGGAAGAAGTACAGCCAGAATGTTCCTCGGAAACCAGGATGGCCAGACTTCGTCTCTCATACTTCAAACATATTATCAGGTGAGACTAGTACCTAGAGAAGGATATCATATTTGGTAAAGTGGAGAGTCAGATAAAAAGTAAGACCCCCAACAAAATGAATTAGCACAGTGATGGCAGCAATGGGCTCAAGCGTGGCAACAATTGTGAGGCTGGCCCAGAACTGGGAAGTGTTTTGCTCTGTTGAGCATAGGGTCACTATGAGTCGGTACTGACTCGATGGCACCTAGTCACAACAGCAACAAATTCCTTACTAGCATTATTCAAGAAGATGAAAAATCAATCAATCAACAGAAACTGGCAAATCTAGAACTGCAATTAGGAATAACAGTAAGTTTTTTAAAAGTATATGTAATGAAATGATTTGTAGGCACTTTGGTCACTGACCATTTCTGACAGACTCTTATCCTACATATTCAATATTCAATTTTTAAGCTGAAAGTCCTTTAACTGACTATGTATAAAAAGAAAATTAATGATTTTAACAGGGTTTTTTTTTTTTGGTAGAGGAACTAAGGAAATGAACTATCTTAATGTTTTAATAATTTCATGTTTTTAAAGATATGGTTCTGTTATGGAAAACAGAACTTTATATGTTAGATTTACATTTAGTGGTGTATCGTGGAGTCAGTTCTGACTCAGGTTTTCAAGGCTGTGAATCTTTATCAGAGTAGAAAGCCTTATCTTTTACCCATGGAATTGTTGGTAGTTTTGAACTGCTGACCTTGAGATTAGCAGCCTGAGAATTTTAATTTATAACTAAGATAAAAATAAAGTTTTGATAAGGCCAAGATTTTCTTTATACCAAATTAATGAAGGGCTGAATTTTTTCATATGTTTAGATTGCTTGCAATATTAAGTAAAGTAAAAAATATTTTAAACTGAACTTTCTGATGAATTTCATAGGAAAGGCTTCATATTGCCCCCCTAAAAGCAAATGTTTGGAGGTAAAGAAAGACACAGACTTTATAATAATTGCATATGTTCAGATATACTTGGAGGTTAAAAATAATAATGATTGTGTTATTTAATTTATCTTCCTGAAGAATTACAATTTTTTTACACATTAGTTGTTTAAACAATAGTTAACAGCAGTGCTTGTGAAATTTAAATTTGTGCATATATACATATTCAGAGATGTATATATACAAAAAAACCACACACACTCAATACTATATTCACTAAGACATTCGCATTTTAGACAAAGTAATAGCATGCACTATTTTTTCTCTTACTCACTTTAACCTAAGGAATAATACATGCTAGAGTAAAACTACTGGCATGTTAACATTGCAATAAGTAAATTACCAATGATTCTGAGTCTATTCTCTGCTCTGGAAGTCTTTATTGCACCTCAAGCAATTTCCAAACATTAAGAAAATCAAAGATTTATGACTTTCTGACATTGCAAAGAAATAGAGAATTAAAGAAAGAATGCCAATGATGATGTGTCAAACCAAGCTGTATGTAGTTAAACACAAACTGAGAAACTGTGAATAGAAGACATTCATCATAGAAAGCTCAGGAAATCCAATTACTTACTATAATAAAATAGCCCTGTAAGCATGCCACTGTGAGCAAAAAAAAAAAAAAAAAAAAATTTGAAACATTGTTTCATTATTAGCATAGCATTACAAACAATCAACTAAGAAAGGCTAAGAAATTTTTCCCCAGCCTTTTCTGACTTCTCAGATCTAATGAAGCAACAATTTGCAACTTTTAATGTGAGACACAAAAGTTCCAAATTTGACACAACAATAAAGAATACTTTCTAAAGCTACTTATCTAAGTATTTTATACCTCAATCTTTATTGCTGTTTGAAATATATAAACTATACTTACATTAGTTTTTAAAGTTCTCTACAAACTTATGTCAAGTTTTATAGATCAAAGAAATGAAAAAATTTTTAATAATAATGGCATCTGTACTGTGTTTAACAATTGACAAAAGTTTCACTTTCTCAAATTTAATCTTTAATTTTTATAAAACAAGCATTATTACTTTCATTGTATGAATGAAGTTAGATGACCTGCCTAAGTTTCATTAGCTGGTCAAAAAGCTTCAGTCAAGACCTAAACTGTGGTGTGACTCCAAATCGTATGCTTGTGTTCCACAATATTACCTTTCATACTTTCACCATATAAATTACCAAGAACACATACCAAAAAAAAAAAATTGGTCTGCTGAACTCTGAAATAAAAAATTTTTTTTAAATCTTCATGTGATCACATAAAGCTGCCTCTAGTACAGGCGTTCTGGTGTGACACTGTAGGATAAACACTGGACTGTTAACCACAAGGTCAGCAGTTCAAGCCCACAAGCCTCTCCTTGGAAATGCTATACAGGGACTCTGAGTTAAACCAACTCAACGGCATTCATAAGAACAGCATAAAAGTGTCTTTAAAGTATTCTCAAGGGGAAAGATAAGTAGCTCTGAATTGAAAAGTAAAAACAAAACAAATTAACCTGAGACAATTCAATTATTACCTGTTCCCACTCTACTTCCCTAACACTTTAAAACCAAAGCCTAAACACTTTCAGGGAATTTTATCTGACTCTGAAAGTAAAGATCAAAATTCTTCTATCTTGCTAAAGGTAGGAGGAAGCTCTGGGTTCTTAGTTAAGCTAACATCTGCTTTTATCTGCAAAAAAAAAACACATCAAAGGCAAAGAATGTATTTAAGGCTTCTATAGTCACAGAGCAAAAACTTCTTTTTAAACCAGAAAACACTTAAATTGAGCGTGCTATTTTTAAAATTGCGAAATAAAACCATAATGTTTGATTAAATATTAGGTCAAGAGAGAAATTAAACATGTCTACTCCTTCAAAATGATTAATTTACCTCCCAGAAATATTTCTGTTTTAGCATTTCTAGGTATAAACAAAATTCTACTTTATAGGTATCTGTAAGATCCCTTACTTTTTAAAACGCTATCTAATCAATGAATTTTATGAAACAGGTGAGTGCGTGTGTGAGTATATTACATTATATATAATAATGATTCTTTAATCATATTTATATAATTTTAAGTTACCTTAATGGTTTTGTCCATATCTCCATAGCACAGGGAGTTAAGAGAGATTTTAAAAGGCCTCCAAACAGGGTTCAAGTTGTTTTTAACAACCTATGAAAATGAAGTTTGAAAATACCAGTTAGAAAAATATTTTGTTCATTAATGCTTTGCTATTGCCTTTCTAAATGCTTGCAATACTTTCACCTGTTCACTCAACATTTTCAAAACAAGAAATATTCACTGCCATCAAATCAATTCCAACTGAAAGGACAAGACAGAACTGCTCCCTAGGGTCTCCGAGGCTATAAAAATCTTTCTAGAAACAGACTGCTTTATCTTTCTTCCAAGAAGTGGCTGGTGGGTTCAAACCATTGACCTTTCAGGTAGCAATCCAATGTTTACCTCACTGCACCACCAAGGCTCCTAATAAAAGCTTGTTGTTGTTAAATGACTAGGAAAATATTATACTACTACTGTATCAAAGGAGTCTTAATGTGGCACTGTAGGATAATCACTGGACTGCTAACTACAAGGTTGATGGTTCAAGCCCACTAGCCACTCTTCAGAAACCTTATAGGATCACTATGAGTCAGAGTCAACTCAACAACACATAAAAACTACTATTTGAAAAATGTAAAAGTTTGTCCAGATGTGGTACATTCCAAGGAAGACCAAAAATTACGTCCACAATACATACACATTTACAGTACACTTAGAAAACTACAGAAAATTATTATAAGCTATTAGAACTTCACATGTTCATAAAAAGGTTCTAAGCTAAATGGAAATAAAAATAGGAAAGGAAATAGAAATGAGGATAAACACAGTTCATCTTATTGAACTGATTCATATGTACAAATAATTCTCACATGCCATTACTTGGAAATATTAGTGAAATCGTAATATAATGAAAACACAAAACAAAACAAAACAAAAAAACCACTGAAACTACTCTGTGTGTTTAGTAGGAAAATGGTACTTTGATTTAGTTAGAAACCAAGGTTTTCACTGCAGAAGACAGAGGATTCAAATATACAATGAGAAAACGTAATGAAAACCACAATTGTATTGAACTAGAACTGGAGAAGTAGTTTTGAATTCATGATTTTAGATTTTAACATATATAAACAAACACAAATAATAGATACACAGACATTTCCCAGTTATGTCCACTGAAAAGACTTAAAATTAAATACAACCAATAGCAATGAGCAAAAGAGCACCCAGATCTTGGTGTCTAAATACTATTCCTATTAAAAGGAATGTTGTTAAGTGCCATCGTGTGCATTTAAACTCATAGTGACCCCGAACAGGGTTTCTGAAGAGTGGCTGGTGGGTTTGAACTGTCAACTTAGAAGTTAGCAGTCCAGTGCTTATCCTACAGTCCACATCAGGACACAGTTAAAAGGAATAGGGCTCCCCAACATAAATGGTCCATTCCAGATCTGTGACTGGAAAAGTTTGATGAACTGAGAACATACCAGAACATGAAGAAACTGCTTAAATACTAATGGGGTCATGTTAAAAGAATCTAGGAGCCATTTGAAAGTATTTCCCTTGATCAAATATGTATTAATTTGAGCAGCAGAAATAATAATTATTAATACAAATTATAACACAATAAATATTTTAAATCTCTAAGTTTACAGTGATACTAACAACAAAAAGGAGTCCTGGTGTGGCGCTGTGGGTTAATATGCCAAACTGTAAAGCCATTTGAACTGCAAGATTGGCAGTTTAAGCTCACCAGCTGCTCCTTGGAGACCCTATACTGGGTCGCTATGGGTCAGAATCAACTTGACGGCACTTCACAACAACAACAACAAAAAAGAGGGGAGAGATAAATGAGGAATGTCTACTAATGTACAGACAAGACATAAAAGATTTTTAAAAGAAGTCACATCTTACTAGCAATCATAATAATAATTAATTCAAACAAGGATCATCAATGGATACTAAAACCACTGAATGAAATGCTGGAGAAGAAGTTATTCATTCAGTCTCAAGAGTGGTGATCAACAGCTTAATTAAGTGGCCAAGCTTAGCAACATTAGTTCTAGGGAATCTGATGTTACAAGCTCCTAAAGATACAAAGGGAGGTGCACATGTAGTGTTCTTGACAAAAAATGTTGGAATTGGATCTAATGGTAAGGAAATTTAAAAGTCCAGAATGTTAGAAAATCTGGTCTTGATTGATTCAACAGATTCAATGGCATGAGGCATAAGGAAGATATGGGAAACAGTCCTATGGTGGAGACATAATAACCAAATGAAGTATGTGAAATTTGGTTGGATCATGAACAAACAAAATACATACGAAACTACAAAAACATAAAGATGAATCATAATGTAACTATTTAAACGTTAATCTTCTCAAGCGTGGTTGAACAGGAACATGTTCTTGTTCTTCAGACTCTTGCAGAAATATTTGGAGGAAGACTACTGATGTCTGTCACCTACATAAGCACTGTTTTGCAAAAGGAAAGCATGTGTGTGTGTATGTGTGCATGTGTGTGTCCGTCCACAGAGAGAAAGGTGGAGAGAGTCAGCCAAAGACAGAGAACATGTGCATTGTGAAATCTAGGTAAGAGGTATGCAGGTAAACAATTGAGTGCTCTTTCAATTCTTAAAGGGTTTAGAATTTTTAAAAATTAAAAAAATAAATAATACTTCCTGATTTAAAAAAAACAATGAACTGACATTTTTATAAATATGTAGTTTAAGCAAAAAACAAAAACTACCAAAATTCCAAAAGAAACTTTCCTTCCACCCTACATTCAAATTTAGACATTTACCTCTGTTCGATGAACCATCAGCCAGTTTCCATCAGATGTCTGTTTGTGGAATTCCAGGTATGGATCTGACTTTCCAAATAGATCCTACAATAATAATTTTTTAAAAAGCAATTATTCCCCCCGGAAACTATATGCAACCACATTTTCTACATGTTAACAGCAACCTAAAGCCTGGCTCTACAGTATAGATATATACTGGCTTTAATTATAAATCCTGTCAACCTACTCATAAACTTAAGCTAACTAAAGTTTACTGGGGTGAACTATGAGAATACTTCAAAATGTTCATGGAAAAAATGGAATTAAAGTAAGATTATGGGATTTTTCAATGAACTTTTTGAAGACCCCTCATACTATGGCCTTCATATGGACGAAGACACATTAACAACCTGTGATGTGCACATGATACAACCTTGCTTGCTAAAGGGAAACAAGAACTTAAAATACTGATAAAGATCAGAGACCTACAGCCATTAGTATGGGTTGCATCTCAATGTAAAGAAAACAAAAATCCTCACCACTGGACCAATAAACAACATTCTTAACAACAGAGAAAAGATTGAAGTTGCCAAGGACTTCATTCTTATTGAATCAACCAACAACACTCATGGAAGCAGCAGTCAAGAAATCAAATGACGTATTGTGTTAGGCAAATATGCTGCACAAAACCTTTTTAAAGTGTCGAAGAGCAAAGATGTAAATGTGAAGACTACGGTGCACCTGACCCAAGCCATGGTATTATCAATAACCTTATATGCAGCGAAAGTTGGACAATGAATAAGGAAGACCGTAGAAGTATTGATGCATTTGAGTTACAGTGTTGGAGGAGAATATTGAAAATATCATGGATGGCACCTGACGACAACAACCACCAATAGAACAAACAGATCTGTGTTGGAAAAAGTATAACCAGAGTGTTCCTTAAAAGCCAGGATGGCCAGAGTTTGTCTACCATACTTCAGACATATTATCAAGAAGGACCAGTCACTGGAAAAGGATATCATGTTTAGTAAAGTGGAAGGTCGGAGAAAAAAAGGAAGACCCCCAATGAGATGGATTGGCACAGTGGCAGAACCAAGAGGCTCAGGCATAGTAAGGATAGCGACGTTGGCCTAGGAATGGTCAGTGTTTCGTTCTGTTGTACATAGGGATGCTATGAGTCAGTACCGAGTCGATGGCACCTAACATAGCTAACAACATACTACGGCACGTGTGATAAATGCTCATAATCCTGTCCATCACACTCAGACTTCTGAAGCACATGATGGCTTTAAAATATAGTGATCAACGGAGCCAATAATCAACAAGGCTCTTTGGGGCTTGTTTTAACTATAGATAATACAGACATAAGAGAGATTCTTGCACATCCAAGATAACACTATTGTTGTGGTTAGGTGTCACCGAGTCCCTACAAAAAAAATGAATGAAACACTGCCTGGTCTTACACCATCTTTACAATCATTATGATTTTAGCCCACTGCTATAGCCACTGTGCTCAAAACATCTCATTGGGGTCTTCCTCGCCTTCTCTGTCTCTCTACTTTGCCAAGCACCGTGTCCTTTTCCAGGAACTGGTCCCTCATAACAATATGCCCAAAGTAGGAGAGACAAAGTCTTACCATCCTTGTTTATAAGGAACATTCTGACTCGACTTCTTCCATGATACATTTGTTTGTTCTTCTGGCAGTACATGGTATTTTCAATATACTTTGCCAACACCACAATTCAAATGGATCAATTCTTCTTTGGTCTTCCTTATTCACTGTCCAGCTTTCACAAGCTGAGATAACAGAAAATACAGGGCTTTGGTCATGGGCACCTTGGTCCTCAAACTGACATCTTTGCTGTTTAACACTTTAAGTAAGTATTTTGTGGCAGATTTGCTTAATACATCATTTGATTTTATTTATTACTGCTGCCAAGTGCACTGATTATGGATCCATGTAAAATGAAATCCTTGAAAATATCAATCATTTCTCCATTTATCATTTAGCTAATCTACATTCAATAGTAAGTGTCAGAGTTCCTTATGACATCCACTTGGCTCTTTTCTTTCTTTTCTGTCTTTTCAGTGACTTTTTGCTTTATTCTTCTATGATGTTCTTGTTATCATCATCCGACAACTCCTCTGGTCTTTGGTCATTAGCGTTTTATGAGTCAAATCTGTTCCTGATAGTCTTTATATTCAGATGGGATATATACAAGCTCATAATTTGGGCTATGGTGGACTTCTAATTTTCTTCAGCTTCATCCTAAACTTGCATAAAACCAATTTATGGACTATTCCATAGTCTGCCCCGGCCTTCGTTTGGCTGATAATATTGAGATTTCTCTTTTGTCTCTTCTGACAGATGTAGTCAATTTGATTCCTGTACAATTCTTCTGGTGGGGTCCATAGTCACCATTTATGTTGTTGAGAAGATATTTGCAATGAAGAAGCTACTAATCTTGCAAAAGTCTATCATGTGATTTCCAACATCATTTCTATCACCAAGGCCATATTTTCCTATCAATCCCTCCCTTTTCTGTTTCCAACATTTGCATTCTAGTCATCAACAAATTATCAATGCATTCTGACTACAAGTTTCATCAATTTCAGCCTGGAGAAATTAGTAAAATTCTCAAATTTCTTCATCATTGGTTTGGTGGTTGCTGCATAAATTTCTATAATAGTTTAATTAACTTGGTCTTTCTTGTAAGTATATAGATTTTAACCTATTGTAGATAGCATTATAACTCAAGATAGTTCTAGAAATGCTCTTTTTGAAAATGAACGCACCGTCATTCCTCTTCAATCTGTCATTCCCAGCATACTACACCATACGATTGTCTAACTTGAAAAGGCAAATACTCATTAATTTCACCTCACTGATGCCTAAGATATTGAGGTTTATGCATTCCATTTCATTTTTGATGATTTCCAATTTTCCTAGATTCATACTTCATACATTCCATGTTCCAATTATCAATGGATTATTTATTTTAGAGTATCTAACCAATTATCTACAGTTGTTTCTTCTCATTTTGAATCACGGCTCCATGAGAAAATAAAGGACCTGAAAGCTTTGCTCCTTCCACGTCATTAAGGTCAACTCTACTTTGAGGTGGCAACGCTTCCAAACAAAATACAAGTGTGGAAGTGTTGCCACCTCAAAGTAGAGTTGACCTTAATGACCTAGGGACTCAGCTTCTGGCTACATATCGGACAATGTTTTACTGCTATTCATAAGGTTTCCCTCAGAAGTGAACCATCTATTCCTTCTTCATAGTCTGTAGGCTCCATTGAAACCTCTCCACCATGAGTGACCCTGCTGGCATTTGAAACATTAGTAGCATAGCTTCCAGCATCACAACAACAAATAAGCCATCACAGTAGGTCAAAATGACAGACATGTGAGGATGACATTATTATCTGGCTTTGTTCACATAGTAGTGAACAACATTACATAAATGATATTTCAAACATTGGCTATACTAACTCTCTGAGGTGACTATGGCAGTTATAAGAGAGAAAATGGATTCAAAGAGGTTAAATGACTTCTAAGATCACAAATGTAATTCATTAATGGCCTGGGCCTTGAATTCATATCTAGCCCTACCATGATCAATAATACCTTTTCACCAACACAATATACTTTGCAATTACCTGTGTAAAATTGCATCAGCCAGCGTGAGTTTCAACCTCTATGCTAGTGTGTTTCTTCTATTCACATGTCTCAGGATTGACCAATATCTGGCCATCACTCATCCGATGACGTCCTGTCTTCGGCGCACAATGCTTGTAGCCAAAGTCACTTGCATCATTAATTAGCTGCTGGCTGGCTCAGCCAGTTTGCCATCAGTAATCCACCAAAATATATTTTTCATTGAGAACACATATATCACAGTTTGTGCTTTCCATTTGTTGTTGTTGTT